TAGACACACTATGTTAAGCATTCAATTCGCAAATAACTTCTGATATGAAGAAGAATTTTTTATCTTCAGTCAGTCTAAAAATATACTATTGCAAAAAAAGAAAAATTAAATAAATAAATAATTTCAAGTTTGTTAAAAATTTCTTTTATGTGTAAAATCTTGTATCTGTTATATCTGCGCAAAGATTATTGATGTACTCATGAATGAAACAATCAAGTGATCTGTCGATATTTCTGAATACAAATGATAATTAGAAATCATTTCTAAATAAACAAAAATGCAAGTAAAATTATGTACCTAATATAAAATCAATTTTACCTGTAACATATACATTTTGAGTTGTTCCTGACAAAATGATCTGGATGTCCACACAATAAAATAAAATGTGTCGATGTGTCGCATCTCTTGCTAGCGGCGTAACCAGAGTTTTGGCGATGGTAGGGCTCAGCAACGCTTAAATATCCGATGGTAGGGCTCAGGTTACTGAGGTCTGTGGGGTGGTAGGGCTTGTGAAAGGATTCAGCTGACGATGCTAACACCGGTGGTAGGGCTGAAAGGTCGGGTGGTAGGGCTGAGCCCCCCCCCTGGCCCTACCTTGGTTACGCCACTATCTCTTGCGTTCTTCGCTAGCCAACATATAGCAACCAGCGGAGAACGCAAGAGATACGACACATAAAAATTGCGACACATTTTATTTTAGTGTGCATGCTTTATACGTCCAAAAAAATTTTAATTGTTACCTCAGACCATTTTCGACGATGATACGATACGTCATTCTAGATTATCAAAATTGAAAAGATGTTTCTACAAAAGTGATAGAAACCCTACGAATTTACCCATTGGATAATCAACATTTTCAGTGAGACATATAGTTAAAATTTGTCCCAATAATATTGCTAACATCAAACGAAGAACTGTGCGATAGATGAATTCCTATAAAGACATTCGTTAACATTATTCGACGCACTATGATATTAATTGTGAATACTTGCCCGCACGATTGATGCTGAACTGGGAACAAGTACCACTCAAACAAGGAACCTAGAAATGTGCATACATATACTTTAAAACGGAATAAAAAAAGATAGAACACTTTACAATTTCAATGAAACAAGATAGACAGAATGCAGTGCGTGATTCTTTCACTCATTTCTATTCTAATTGCATAACTAATCTTTGGTTTCGCATGATTGATTTTTTTTTTCTTTTTTCTTTATTGATGTGTTACATATAAGCATGTGCAGGGTATATGAGCAGTAAGATATGTAAGGCAAAAAGAGGATTAAGAGAGTCATGCTTTTGTATGAATACTTTTTATTAAGAAAAGTCATATTAATTATTAGTTACTTAAATTAATCACTTTTTGCTTCTTCTAGAATATTATTTTTCTTTTTCGTGGCGGTTTGGCAGGCGATATTGTCCTCGTCAAATTTTATTGGTGAAAAATAAAATGCCCTACACTGATACATATATACCTTAGCTTTTTTTCTTCTAGTCTTATTATATTATGAAAATCGATCGAAACAAGATAAGAAGAGAGAATTTCTCCTACCAAGTACCATCGTATTATCAACTCACTGTCAAATCATAACAGCTATAGATAAGAAAAAGAAACAGAAAAAAGAGAAAAAACTAAGGTGTATGTATAGTCTGGAACATATTAATCTCAGTAATAAAATCTAAAGAGGACAGTACTATTTGTCGAAACATCACGAAAAAGAACATTATACAAAAGCCAAGAAGAGATTTATTTAAGTTACCATTTGTTTTATTTTTATTGATTATAATTGAACATGATTCGTACGGTCTTGGTGACTGGTGCCGCTCAAGGAATAGGACGTGCAATTGCTATTCGTCTTGCTAAAGATGGTTTCAATGTTGCTGTTAATGATATAGAAGCTAATTCCTCTAAACTTCAAAAATCTCAGCAAGAAATCGAACAAATTGGTCAAAAATCAATCTCTATAATTGCTGATGTTTCTATAAATGAATCAGTCGAAAAAATGATGCAAGAAGTTGCACAAAAATTAGGAAGTTTAGATGTTTGTATTTTTCACTCTTTTTCATTGCTTTGATTTTTTTCTGTTATGATTCATTCTACAGGTATTAGTCGCAAATGCAGGAATTGGTGATTCGAAATTGCTCTTAGATACAACTGTAGAAGATTGGGATAGAGTTTTTGCAGTAAACATGCGTGGTGTATTTCTTTGTTACAAAGAAGCAGCTAAAATCATGATTAAACAAAGTACAGGAGGAAAAATCATTGGTGCTTGCAGTAATGCTGGATATAGACCAACTCCAACGATCGGTGCTTATTCTGCTACAAAATGGAGTGTACGAGGTTTAACACAAGCTGCTGCTATAGAATGGGCTCCATATAATATTACAGTCAATACTTATTGTCCAGGTATATTTTTATAGCTTTTAAATATTAAATCTAAGAAATTTTATCAGGTATCACGATGACATCGCTTGGTGAGACACTTCTTGAAGGATTGGCAAATTTTCATGGGAAGACAAAAGATGATGTTACTGAAGATTTTGTCAAAGCTACTCCACTTGGTCGCATAGGAGATCCAGATGATGTCGCAAACTTAGTTTCATTTCTTGCAAGCAAAAATTCTGACTACATTACTGGACAGAGTATTTTAGTCAATGGTGGGAGATTTTTTTCTTAACTTTTAATTACTATTTATTTCAAAATAAAAGTTTTCTTTAGTTATCAATACAAAATATTTCTATTCTGTCAGTTAAAAAGTATCATCTGAAAGAAGGTGTGGGTGCTGGTGTGGATGAAAAGAAGACACACTGCACACGCACATCCTGATTTCATAATCAGAAATAAAATATATTTTGTTACTTCAAATCTTTATTTCTGTCAAAGATATCATATTGACATGAAAGCGAATAAACAACAGAAGATTTTTTTCAATCTTATTCAGTGAGAAGATATTAATCATCGATTCTTCCATAGTCAAACAAATAAACAAACTCTTTTATGTAGTATAATATCCAATTGATGTCTGTTTACATTAGAAATCCGAATCTGTTTTTAAAAGACTGTTTTACTTTTTTTTTCTAATTTTATATTTTGCCTTTTTTCTTTGAGATCTTGACATGAATTATTATTCTCATTGTAACCTATTAATTTACTGTTTTTACTTCAGTTATCCACATACAATTCAATTAATATCAATCCATCGAATAGCTTGTCTATATGAAAGATATTTCAAAGTAATTTATCAATGTTATTCAGTGTGACAAATAAAAAACCTTTGTCAATGCTATGAAAAATAATATCAGAAGTATTTTTGTAGAATGAGATCAGTTTTCCTCATGAAATGAAGATTCCTTGGATTATGATAACGAGTTTCGCAACGGATACTACACACTTCCATTACTATAGTTTGTTATCAAAAATAAAAGTGTGGATGTGGGCCAATGTTTCTAACAGCAAGGGTCCACCATGTTCATAAAATATTCAAGAGGCTTGCCGCAGTACTCTGTATACAAAATATGTCTTCGGAATATATACGTTCCACCTTGAGAATTTTCTTATCTCCACATTTTTGAGGATCTTGAAGAAATATAGTCAATAAATATTCGAAGCTAGCAGAGGTTCGTAAAAGTTTCCATAAGCGATAGGATAGATGGAGAACATTGAAAAATATAATAAGTGAAGTTTCCTCAGTCTACAAAATATTTTCAATCCACAATCTAGATTTTAAAAATTTTTGTTTATTTTCCTTTTCTTCAAAATCTGTACGCATCAGGAATACATCTGAAATAAGATAGTAGTTTAATGCTTTGCAAGTGATCACATTCATTTCTTTTATTTACATGAGTTATTAACAATGAGAATATCTTTTAATCAGAAAATAATATATCGTTCAAATACATTCATCAAAAATAATCAATATTATTAGGGCAATGATTGACATCGGGCGTTTTTGTATCGATACGTCCATCGTAGTTTTTAAATATATTACGAATACTGTTGGAAACAAAGTAAATTTATTCAATTATTCTAAATTTATAAAATGAAAGATATCTTCGTTGTATTTTTTCTAGGCAAAAAATACTACACCTAATTCACATACAGATTCAACGAGTGATAATAATATAATGTAACAGATTTTGTTCGTCAAGATGAAAATGAAGGACAAATTGAAACTAAGAAGTTCACAAAAATGAAAATAAAAAAGAGTAAAAGATAAATCTTTTTTTGTTGTTTTACTAATATGTTAGAAATTATTTAATTTTTTTAATAAGATACCTTTTTTTATTTCTTTAATTGATGAAATGAACAATTCAATTAACAAAATGTTTTATATTTTGAAAAAGATAGATAATGCTCCTTTGCATTGTTTTGAAAATTTAATACATTTTCAACAGCAACTTAATAATACAATTGCGGAATCGAATGAAGTGGTAATGAATGAAGTTATAAATCGCATTTATTAATTTATCAATTGCCTTAATACCAGAAAATCTAAAAAAGAAAATAATACGAATCCTGGATATTATTCAAACTTCGTATTATAAAACATTAGTAAGAATTATATATGCATTTTCAATGTTTTCTTTTCGATTTTCTAGAATGAAAACTTTAACATGAAAAAGAAAATTTCAAAGATAGAAAAAAAAATACAACAAATTAACAAATGAAGTTAACAATGAAGTACAATAGATATGGTTAAATTTTGCGATCAAGTGAATCTTCTCAAATGTGACTTAGAAGAAATTAAAAAAAAACAAATAAAATAATTCGAAATACTAACCAAGAATTGAAAAAAGACACGATAGAAATCAGAAGAGAACTCGATCAGATAAAGTCAATTGTTGTTTATGTCATAATAAATGTTCAAATCATAGTTTTAGATTAAGAGAACGCAAAGAAATTTTATCAAATGTTTTTGTGTATCTTCTCAAAATAGTTATTCAGGAAATACAATTAAATTTTGCGGAAAATAATGAAATTCATAAATATGAACCAGAGCACATATTTCATTTTGAATTACTTTTTACTAGGAATACATTAAATGAAGTGAGTAGTGTCACATATCCAAGATTTTGGAGATGCCACCACATCTCCCGTGGGAGATGACGCGTCTCCAGCGGGAGACGCGACACCCACACTCGAGAGATGTGGTCATTCACCACTGGAGATGTAAGATCTCCTTTAGAGATGCGCATCCCCCACACCCACACCCGCATCTCTCGCGCGAGATGCGGCATCTCCCCGCGGGAGACGTGGTGGCATCTCCAAAATCTTGGATATGTGACACTGCTGGATATTCTTGATGAAATATCAAAAAAATCAAACATATGTTTGAAACATGTTACGTCTCTTATCTTCGAATGACGACAGAACGGAGAAAAAGAATCCCCCTTCGCATGGAATCGAACCATGCACCTCCTGCTTACCGGGCAGACGTATTAACCACTGTACTAGAAAGGGTATCTCTTCTCCGTCTTACGATTGTATGGGAACAATACGATCGTAACAAAAGAATTAATTGAACTTCTTTTAAAAAACAATCCACGAAATGATGACACTAATGATTATATTAATAATTTTATCAAGGAAAATATCGATAAGGATTATCAAGCTAATGATATAATAAATTATATTAAACATAATAATAAGATAGACTTGATTATCAACAATACAGAAAAAGAAATTTTAAAGAAATTGATCGATCTAAATGTTGCATATAAAAAAGTGATAAATACAAGGTGAATTAAGCAAAAAAAAAAAGGTATTTTTTTCTTTTCTAAGTATATAAATTTTCAAACATATCTGAATACATCAACAACAACAAATTCTGACATTAATAAACCACTTCGAGTATCTATTATTATATGATATCAAGTTTGCTTTGTACTGTTTTTTTGAAAATTGAATTGAAATTTTTGTTTTCATTTTTTTATAGAACATGGATTATTGTTGGTAACATTCAATCAGGATGTTGTCGTGTTGGTGATCGATGTTTAATTATGCCTAATCGAACATTTGTTGAAGTTACCAACATTTATGATGATCTAATTCCACTGCTGCGACTATATTTGACCAGAGATATTGGTACTAGTCCATCAGATTCATCCAGTCTCGGGGTGTTTCATTTGTAAACCCTGAAATTCTATTAAATTCATGCAGTTTTTCAATGTTCCCCAAAAAAATCCAGCCGCTGCCGCGATGGTCTTTTAAAAAGCCTGCCGCTGTCGCGATGATTTTTAAAAAATCTGCCGCTACCACGCCGCTGCCGCAGTGATTTTTTAAAAAACCTGCCGCTGCCGCCACCGCCATCGCGACGGCGGCAGCGCCGCGATGGACATCTCTGCTTTATATTCATGAAGCTGTTGCTAAAGTTCAATTAAAACAATTATTAAAATTAATTGATCATGAAACAGGTGAAATAACTGAAGAATATCCGAGATTTATCAAACAAGGTCAAGCAGCAATAGCAAGATTGAAATTATCACAATGTAGACAAGTTGTTTGTATGGAAACATTCAAAGATTATCCTTAACTCGGTCGATTTACATTACATGATGCAGATCAAACTGTTGTTGCTCTTGGCAATGTTCTTACAATTATTCAATGAACAATTTTATTACTTGTTTTTTGTCTTTTTTAAACTATTGTACACAAAAGTTCCTCTAAAATACACTAAATTTCTATGATATTTTGTTCGATTATGCAGGCAAACTGGTGATATATTAAAAAGATTGAATAATTTTTTTTGTGGATAAAACTGTTCTTTGTTAATGTTTGAAACTCGTATACGAATTGTAGTGAGCAGCAGAATCAAATATCGTTTATCGAGAAAGGAAAAATTCAGAAAAAAAAATTTCTCATACGATTGAGTGCGCAACATTTTTCTCAAAAGATTTCGCATTCTTAACTTTGTCGAGATGTCATCTAGTTTTTCATGTAGCGCGAAACATATGATTTTTGTAGCCAGTGATATATCGTGATGTTTTAGAAATCGACAAGTTACTAGAAATACGTTCGAAATATGTCAGCAAGATTCATATCTCGAGATAATACAAAGATTTTTGAATCTTGACTCTCAAGATGAAATCGTTTTCGTTCTTATATTAACTGAAACTTCATTGATAACATTTCAGATCGCTTCGCATTGCATTAATCCAGTATTTTGCAAATTTTTCTTTTATTTACTAGACATACGTATTGAAAATTATCATTTTTTGTTACGATAAAGCTCGAGAACGAAGATTTAGAAAATATACAGATAGATGTTTTTCTACTGTCTTATTCATATATCCAAGAAAGTCGTGAACTGGAAGGGAAACTTTTTTTTATAAGAAACTCTTATAACTGTTTGAAATTAAAATGAATTACGTATATTAAACTTATTACTTCTGTTACACAATATATAGAAAGAGTAAAAACAAAAAAGCAAACAGTTGCTTGCAGTTCCAGCAAGAGAGTAGATATATATATCTCACTAAACAATAATTTATTAAACCAAACTTAACATAACGTATTGTTCTAAATTTTATTTTGTATCTACTACATAGGTTTACAGTAAGCTTTATGTTCCTGATATTCATTGTGTAGCAAAGGTATATCACATACTACCAACAACAAAATTATTGCATAGCGTATTTTTTATAGGTATTTTTATTAAAAGTCAGCCATGAAAAATATATATTTTTCAAAAAATCCTTTTCGTTTGCAAAACTTTGTAGAGCTCGTTTCGCTGACGTTTTTGGTTAAAAAACGTTTCAAATTTACCCAATAGGGTGTGGGTGTTAGGATTAGTGTTTCGTTCAGTGTAGCAATATGCGTCGATTATCTCTTTATCAATACCCATCTAGACATCTACACTCATCTACATTCACATTCGCGATTTTATTTGAATGATTTATCCCACTGATTGGTACAGTCTATTGTGAAACTCTGAATGACAGCGTTGTTTATAGGAAAAGTTTCTTATGACTGTATTTCATCATCTGGATTCACAACGGTCCTGTATTTCTATATTTTTGAAATTAATCCTATAATAGAGTATATTTTAGCCTTTTTTCCTATATTCCTATGTTTTTTGAAAAATTAAAGATTCTTTGGAAAAAGTCAGATGTATCTTCAAAAAGTGCCTCACATATTGTGTAAATATTATTGCTAGTGTCCAGAGCGGGCTAAGTCATTAGGCTTGGAGAGGCTCAATATTTGAGAAAATTTTAGGATCTCATTCTGAATTAAACCGGATGTCCCAAAATGTTACCAACAAAGTTTATTTTGTATCTTTGCATGCACAAATGCTAAAATCATGAATTCTTTTTTAAATGAGTTGTCGGCGCCCTCTACAACAACTGTATCAAAAAATCCTATTGACTTCTGTTGATGAATGTTTAGAAAACTGAAAGGAAATACGTAAAAAAACGTTTCTACTTTCCATTATATTGAAAATAACAAACATATTGAAAATAATATCTATTTTTCATTTATTTTGCATAGAAAAATGATAAAAATTAGATTGCTTTTAAAGATGCGCTGTTAAATTCTCTATAATATTCAGAGAAAAAGGTGTCCTTGGATTATCGTAATCGATTTTGAAACGGCAAAATATAAACATGTCAAATATACTGTTGTTTTTTACTATAACGGTAGACTAAAAGCGTCAGAAATGGCAAACTGATTATCGAAAGCAAGTTTTTTTTTGTGCAAAAACGCACTACTAAATATAGTGATTAGTTGCTTAAATAGAGAAGCAAATTCAACTCAGTAGAGTGAAAAATTAGAGTCTTGTATATCTTTGCTTTTAGTCCTCATAAAAAACGATTAGAACAAGTCAAGAAAACAGTCTGTTTCTTTAAAAGAATTCAAGTTCTATGATTTGTTTGACCGAAAATAAATGAGGAATAGATATTATAAAGTTTATTTTAACAGCAGCAACGATAACGTAATTCACAATGTATAAAGAAAGACTATCTATTTTTGAGAGATTTTACTTTTGCAGAAAAACTGCAAAAGTAAATTCTGTATAGACTAACTTTATATTGAAATTCTACGGACATTGTGAAATTACAATTTAGCACTATTCAATAGTGACAATATCATATAACTATCGAGTGTTTTTTCGTTCTTCGTATAGTATATATATAGGCTATTCAATAGCTAACTTTATGTATTTTTTACTATTCGAAGACGTGATTGTACACTCATTCTGTTGTTTTGGGGTGTGGATGTGGGGTGTGGGTGTGGGTGTGGGTGAGGGTGTGAGTGTGAGAGTACTTGCTTTTGTCTACACCCACACACCCACTCACACTCGCACCCTATGAATATAAAGCAAAACTTCGGCAGCTGGCGAAATCAAAGACGAACTTTGATTTAGGTCCTTAACTAACAATTTCTTGTGAATTAACGTATTAGTCGGCTTGATTCGAACTAATTCACTCCTCTATTTACATATCGTAGTCATAAAAATAGTTCTGAATAAAAAAAAAAAACTTGCATCATAGTCTCTGTGGAAATAAAATATGAAATACGATAGATACACAGTGTAGATTTAGGTCTCCTCGAGGCCCTTAATTCATCCTCAAAATAATCTTTTATCCACAAACTAAGATCTAAATGTCACTTTTTTTTTCTACATGTCGATCATGAAGAAAAACTGAAAATCTCAACAATGTCAAAGAAGTCAAAGAAAAAGTCTTTGATACATAATATGAAAAAAAAAAGAGTAACATGACAAAATTCCTATAACCGTATCTAAGGAGGGTAGTACTTTACAGTCCCATCGATTTAAAAACAACAAATTAATAAAATGCTTAACATATTTCACAAAAATCTATTTAATAATATTTATTTATACGTAATGAGATATTCTGGTAAGATATGTCGATTAGAATAAACAACATAAATATTTGATCCATCTGTTGTCGAATCATAGTCTGATGGACATGTTATCATTGTTGAGTTACCTACACAACTTCGACCAACAAGTACACGACACATGAGTATTCTTTTTTCACCAGTAGAAGGATTTGGTACAGCATATCCATCACTATATTGTCGACTCGATGAGAAATAAAATCCATGACCATAAGAAGTACCTAAAACAAAAATGAACCAAAATACAACTTAAATTTATTCTGCATTTTATTTTACCATGTTTTCCAATACGTGAATGGTCAAATGCTTGTTGTAAAATATGTTTAGCTGCTCCATATGGACAACCATGAAATAATAGTTTTTCCGTGTTATTATATCCAAGCCGAGCATCAACCACTTGTTTCTGATTGAGATATTGAAATAACCATATTGTGTTTTCAATTCGATGAATACAAACAATCGATGATGCTCCAGCATCGAAGTCATCAGCTACTCTTCGAAATTCATCTGAGTCTTTTGGCACTTGTATCAAAGTACATTTTGGTATTGACCAATTTTCTGTTGAAATATTTCTCAAGTTTAAACCACTTGTATCTGGTAATTCAAATTGAGCACCAAATGCAGTCCGAGCTTGGAGAAGAAGATTACATGCTTCACTATCTAACATTGTTCCCTGAATAACGCTTTGAACTTTTATTTTGCCTTTATGGAGTATCAGACAGATAAGCAACGGATAAACTTCAGTCGGTAACGAATCAATTACTGCTGCGACTTCTTCACCTGCATGTGTTGCAACTATAGTCAAAAGCCTACAAAAGTGAAAAAACGATTTTTTTGTTGTATGTTCTTTGTTTTAACTTACTCATAATAATTTTCTTTTGTTAAACTCCATATCCATAAAACAAATTGTTCAGCAAGATAGGCATTAATTGATTCTGAATATAATACAAGTTCATTAAAGGTGTCTGTAGCGGGACTTTGTTCATCATATATGTAAAGAGCTAATGGTCTAGGCTAGAAAAAAATTAAATATATTATAATCTTCTGTTTTCAGGAGGAATAAAAGACTTACATCCATCGAGTTAAATAAAGAATCGGTTAAAGCTTGATCAAATGAATATTCGTAAGGTGAAGACGATGATGCTGTATATAGGTTACGAAGACGATGAAGAAATTTCTCTTGATTAATTAATAAAGAATCAACCATTTTGAAATATTCTACATTGTAGAAAAAGTTCTCTCACTTTCTCTGTTACTGTACACTTCGAAAGTATTTTCATTTGTGGTCACCTATATTAGCTTCAGTTATTGAAATAAAAACAAATGTATTAACCTACCGGTCTACTGTTGATTTGTGTATTATCTATCTGGTGTAATCGATTGTCCCGTTTTCTAAATCGTCCACTCACCCATTGTCCCATGTTTGTTTTCAATTGGAATGCGTGAGGCTTTTATATGTTGAAAAAATTTCGTAATTTTTTGTTTTCTTTCAATTGACTCATTATATACTGACGTATTGCTCGTGCATTAACGAAACGGATATACATTGTCATGCTTGTTGATTTCAATACAATAGAAAAAAAAACCAGTTACGCCCTTCAAATTTTTTTTCAACAGACTAAGAACGAATTGCATAAATTTCGAAATATCACACTTTCCAATAAATCTTCTTTCAAGTCTTCTATTCATGTAAATGAATATGTTCTTTATGATTAAATGAAACATTTTGAAGGACACTTATTACACATTTTGTCTATACTTAATATTTAAGTAGAAAAACACTAAGCAAAACAATTTAATCGCACATTAAAATCAGTAATAACTTCATGATCGAATAAAAAACAGAACTACCGATAAGAGCAATATATATATATGTTATTTCCTAGATTCACTAATAATAGGTTACTTTTAGTCATCAGACTCTGTAGAGATACTTTCCCTTAAACATTTATGTCGTATTACACTACTGATTATAAACAATTCTACACGACAAGCAAAATACATAATACTATGAAATACTTTACCACTTCATGAAATTGTACTGTAATATTGTAATTTTAATTGAAATGATTATTATTTTTCCAAAAAAAGATCTTTCCAACAAAAACATGATCTGTATTTACTGAAATTTTATTATGTATGCTCTACATTAATAAAACTATTACAGATTTGCATATATTACAGTATTCTGACAGACCATGTAGAAGACTGCTAGCAGAATATGGATCTAATAGATCAATACTGAATTTGAATCTTTATTTTCTAAAAGACAAATACAAACTAGAAAAAAAAAACCTAATGCTGCTTGTATGAGGACATGATGAAATGAACAATACCTATCGTTTACTATGAGAGGAGAAAAAGGAAAGGAAAGAACATAAGGAAAATATATTCATATCGTATATGTACGAGAGCAGAGTAGAAGAAATAGAAAAATAAAGTACTATGTATATTTAAGTCGCATTACAATCAAGACTTTCTTTTTTTGCAAACCTCTCTAACTGAAATCCTGATAGACACTAAGGCTCCATGGATTCATTTAACGTGTAGAAAAAAAGTTATCTTATGACATATTACTTTAAAAATAGATTTATAAAGAATAGTATACATCTTGTAATGAATCCATATATATCTATATATCGGCAGATGAAATGACTCAATAATATGGAATTTACACTCTAACTCACCGACAAAGATTTGTTATTAGAAATTCAACAATACTTATTTTAATAGAAATCATTATTCTGACAATTTTAGATAATGTTGTATAATATCATTTTCACAAACTGTGACTCAAATCAATGTCATATGGTTTATCATAACATAATCAGACAAAGAAAAATATACTTCGACAGTATGTCACTCATAGTATTACCGTGCAGTTATTACCAAATCTGTAGAAAAGAATAGACCGTTAAGTTTCCGCTGAACTGATTAGTATTCAAAAACGATGCGAACAGAATCGATCAATGATGAAATGGATTTCTTCGAAAGATTTGGTCTCTTGTCTTATGATATGCAAACCTGTCATAAAACAGTTTCCAAATGTACCACTCATATAATTAGCTATAATAGCACTTGTTTATACTGTATTCAAATTCTTTGAAATAATCAATAAACATATTATAACTTAGAACTAATAACAATTAGTTGTATTGAATCATCAATATAACAATTGATCACGCTAGTTTTCATACAGCTTTGTAAGCATTTTTAAGTCTTGCAATATCCGTTCAATTGCTAAATCTTTGAAGACGAAATAATCAATTTGTAAATTCATCAATCTACTGTGAATATAACAATCGGATCAATAACCTAGTAGATAGAGCTGAATTGAGCATCGTATCGATATGAGAAAGTATTGTAATTCGCTAATACAGATTGATAAATGTGAATTATAATAGAAAGTTAATGAGCATGAAAGTAACTTGTGATGAGTGGACATCTAAACAATACGAAATATTACTAATTTGAAGCAGTTTTATTATATTCTAAGCGTGCGTATATACAAATATAATGCAGTTAATATTTTATTCTCTGCAAGAAAATCTTTTCGATATGTATAGTTATGTTAAAATTATGAATCAATAATTGTTGCTAAGTGAAAGGAATTGTATAACATTTCTTAATCATTATGCAACTGCGTCTTTTTTAAAGATTCATGCAAAAAGAGTGCAAGTTCATTCAGTAGGAAGATGGCAAGACTATTTGAATCGTTGAATGAGTCAACATATATCTACATCCTTTCAACTTTAGTTTGACGTATTATAGAAAGAACAAAACGAAAAAAGAATTTGACCCCACAGCAAATCTGAATAAAAATAATTACACATGAAGTGAGTGCAAACAAATTTCGACAAAAATCTTGTTATTTTTCCTAATATTAGCATAGCATTTGCACTTTTTTTGGTAAGTATGTACTCCTGAAAACGAAAAAAAAAAGAGTCTATTGATGCATTATTGTAGCATACTCTGTTGTTCAAACATGAGGGTGTGAGTGTCTTCATCTTGACTCAAACAACACTCACACCCATATCTGAAACCTTGGGCATACAGTGGCAATCCTGAGAGTGCGATTTATCCCATAGGTGTACCCATAAGTCCTCAAGAGCTGTCCTGCAAGAGTACCTATAAGTAGATGTGTGACAGGTCCAGTTCAGTTTGTTGAGCTGGAGCTAGTTAGCCAGCTCTCGTCCACATGGGCTGAAGCTGTCATGCACCGAATGTTGAACCAATCTTTGATTAAAAAGGAACTTAAAGTTGACCCAAAGAACGGAGGATGGTTTGTTCACAAATCGGTCCTAAATGGAAAGCTCTTCAGTAATCAGTTGCATCTTCAAAATAATGCTTCACCCTTCACCATTAAACCATTCTCGATGTACATGAAGGATGTTCCTGAACACTATATAGTCCATTCTATCAGATAGCCTACCATCCCTTTCTAGTTCAGATTTCTACCTGTGATAGTGCATTGTAGTGTCCATAATCACCACGTTCTTCAATGTAAAAATGTAAAAGCGACATATTTTCCGGGTAGACAGAGAGTATCAAGAGCTACAAAATAATACCAAAATAAGGATGGAAATATGCTGTGCTCGATATTTTCTGAAGAGCACACTGCCATATTCCTATGGAGAAGGTACTAGGTTTAGCAGTTCTATCCATAGAGTTCCCATCATACCTCATAGAACCAGAATCAATTTTGACTTTGGGTGTGAGCGTGTGGGCTGGTGTGCGTTTTCTTCGCCTATATCTCTTTACATTTACATCGCACCCCACCCCACCCACATCCACATCCAAACCCACACGCACACCCTAGATGACTAGATAAATTTTTAACTAGAAAGATAGTAAATGCTACATCTTTAGTGAGATCGTTTGTTCTTATATAACGCATTCCATTCATGTATAGTTTATTTTTACTTTTGCATTGAAGTACAGATTGTGTAGATCTTGTATACTTCGTTCCGTGTAGCTAATTATCGATAATCAATCAGTAAGAGAATCAACCGATTAAATCCGATTCCAGTAAAGCGTTTTATGATAAATCGTAGAAACGGTTATTTATTTATTTTTATGAAACTCAAATGCTTTCAGTGATATCCTGATCAGACGAAAGAGGTGTCGGAATAATAATATCCCCAATAATCGTAACACTTCATAGCTATATTGTTGGCTGCTTTGTGTCACCAATGATGCCAAGTAGTTTCTCATATATCTCTTTATGTGAGGAAGATGAAATGTTTTCGAAGAGACGTATATAGTACATGCTTTTTTTTTTCGAGAAAAAAAAAGTGAAATGTCAATGCAATAACAAAATGATTTTTCTAAAGACTCTATGCACTAATTTCTTTTATCGTATACTAAACGTTGATGTAAACTAGCTCCCTCTGTCGCGAATATGTCATAGCTTATATAGATTATCCAATGAAATTTATTATTTTCTTCCATACTATTTGATTTGTTGTTGTGTAAAATGATAAGAATAGTTTAATGTTCGTCAGTGACGAAAATTAAAATTTTCTAGTAGATTACTTTTATTTTTTTTTCTTATCTATTAAAATACAAAAACAATGGCGGCAACAAACAAATCCATACCTATCTATCGATTAATTATGGTACAAAATAATTAAGAATTAATTAATATATAATTATAAAAATATTTCATTTATCATAGGTTGGAAGTGGTGGTGTTGGTAAATCAGCATTAACACTTCAATATATGTATGATGAAGTAATTCAAAAAATAGATTCAAATTTTTTCTTTTTATTTAAAAAAAACAAACTTTGTTTAGTTTGTTGTTAATTATGAACCAACAAAAGCTGATTCATATCGAAAAGCTGTTATGCTTGATGGTGAAGAAGTTCAAATTGATATATTAGATACAGCTGGTCAAGAACATTATGCTGGTTTGATTTTTAAAATATTTATATTCAAAGAAAATATTTTTTTTCTTTCTATGTAGCTATTCGTGATACATATATACGTACTGGTGAAGGTTTTCTTCTTGTATTTGATGTAACAGATGCTGAATCATTTTCTGATTTAAATGATCTTTAGTAAGTTAATATTAAATTTTTATTTTTGGAAATAAAAAAAAAAAAATTTTTTTTTTTTGTTTATTTTAAGTGAACAAATTTTACGTGTAAAAAGTAGTGGAACAAATATTCCCGGAATATTAGTTGGAAATAAAATTGATTTAGATG